GTTTTATCAGTTATGTGACTTGAAGAAGAGGGTGGCTGGCACTCACTCCACCCTGATCATTACAAGTGTTTGGTTGCTCACAATGTATATTATCCTGGAGCTGATTAGATTATGTTAGGCCACATCCAGGGGGATTGATTACCAGGCCTCCACTGGCAAACCAAAGAGAACCCTGACCCAGCCAAGCTGACACAAAGCTAAATATCACACTGAGGATGGGAGGAAAGGGAATAGATGATCAGGAAGCAGTCAGTAAGGGAAAGAAAAGTCAAGGAGACCCTTTTTTGAAGGAAATTGTCTAAGCAAAAGCAAGGAAGCATGCTCATCATGATGTATGTTGGAAATAACAGGCAGTTAGACATTAAGACAGCATGTTGTATGAGCTTTAGAAGCAATTATAAAAATAATAATGTATTTGCTACATGCTAGCACTGATTTCCATACATTATTTCACATAATTTTTACAACTGCTGTGTGCAGATAAGGAAACTTGAGCTCACAAAGCTGGTAGTTGGCGCAGTTGAACAATAAACCCAGATTATCTGCATCTAGAGCCAGCCTCTTAAATATCGCGGTAAGTTAAGCACTCATCTGTTTATTGTTAGAGTTTCAGGAGATAGAACCTTGTATACCATGTGAAACAGCCAAGATTTCTAAGTGGCTCACAATTTTTTCAAGCCCAAATTCATTGTAGTATTTGCTAAGGCAGTAGTTCTGAAACATTATCATGCATGACTTGAACATCTACTGCTGTTGAGTTGATTCTAACTCATAGTGACCTTACAGGACAGAGCACAATTGCTCCAAGGTTGTACATCCTTACAGAAGCAGATTGCCTTGTCAGTTTTGCCTCAGAGTGGCTGCTGGGGTTGAATGACTGGCCATCCTTCAGGACTCCTTAGAATAGATACTGTTTTTTAATCTTTAATAAAACCACAATATTATGATCACAAGAAAGCTGATGATAATTCTTTAATATTCTATATGCAGATATATTGAAAATTTTTTAGCTCTCCCAATATGTCTTCTATAGCTGATTGTTTTTAGGAATCAATGTCTAATCAAGTGAAACTAAGTTTTAGGAGCCAGCAGTACTGGGTGGGTCTTCTGGCTCAGATAAGTAAATACTATTTCTATTTAAAGAACAGATTTGATTGTTCATCAAAGATCCAACTTTATTTATTTCTCATTTAACTTCCTGGAGATAAGATGAGCCAGGCTTGGCAGGGTGACTCTCTTGTCTTCAGGGATTTCCATCTCCAAGGTACAGATTGCTTCTCCATTCCTACCATTAAGTTGGTGAGAGGATCCAGGGAGTACATAATCTTTTCAGCGGCATGTCTGGACATTATACCAGTGGCATATCTGGAAATTATACACCACTCTTTCCCATTCTCTTGACAGAAACATAATCGCATACTTACATGTATCTGATAGAGCCCTGGTGGCAGGGTAGTTAAAGCATGTGGCTACTAATTGAAAGGTTGGCAGTTCAAACCTACCAGCAACTCTGAGGAAGAAAGATGTGGCAGTGTGCATCGATGAAGATTTCTAGCCTTGGGACTCCATAAGGCAGTTCGCTGCCATGCAGAGTAGGTGTGAGTTGGAATGGCCTCGATGCCCTTGCAAACATGTCTGTGTTAAAAAACAAAGCTAAACAACAGAGCCAATTGCTGCCAGGTTGATTTTGACTCACAGCGATTTTATGTGTGTCGGAGTGGGACTGTGCTCCACAGGCTTTTCAGTGGCCGATTTTTAAAGAAGCAAATGATCAGGCTTTTCTTCTGAGGTGCCTCATGTAAACTTAAGCCTCTAAGCTACTGGTTAGCAGCCACGTGCATTACCCATTTGCTCTCCCCAGTAAATACCTGTGACAGAGACCTGAAAATGTATGCTTTATTCTAGATGGCCACGTGTCTACTGATAATTCAGGGCTGCTGTTACTAAAGGAAGAATGACCATTAAAGGGGAACAGTTAGCATCTCTGCCCTAAGTTATTTTTGGTTGATAAACTGTATTTAATTCTCCCTTCTATTAGTTTTAAATTTTTTCAACATATTATAACATCTGTTTGATACAAAGGGGGCGAATTGTTCTTATACTTGCTGATCCCAGATTGTTGTTCCTTTTGGAACAATTATGTGCTCAGTATTATAGTTGTTCTGACTTCTTCCTTTTGTTAGGATATTAGCTGTCACTGATCACAGCTGTCAGTACTTCTTTTCCCAACTTTGCCTCATTTGACTGCTCTATTTTCCTTAGACTGCAGGAGTCCTTGTGGTGTAGTGGTTATGGATTGGGTTGTTAAATACAAGGTCAGCAGTTCCAGACCACCAGCTGCTCTGAGGGAGAAAGTCGGGGCTTTCTACTCCCATAAAATGTTACAGTCTTGGAAACTCAAATGGGGCAGTTCCACCCTCCCTTACAGGGTCACTGTGCATATTGGGCATTGACTCAATGGCAGTGAGTTATTGCCTTTTCTTTTGAGTTCCATTAGTTATGGTTACTGAGTTGTTGTTATTGGGGAAACAAGTAACAGTAGCCTTCAAAATAACATTTTAAAAATTATTGTGTGATTTATGTTTGTTATGCAGTATTAGAGATTTTTTCATCTTATCTCTAACTTTGGAGTGCTTCTAAAAAATGCTCATTTTACAAATGAAGAAACTTTAAGAGTATCAATAAATTGTTTATGAAAACTACAATCGTTAGACCCACTCACTGCTCCAACTCAGAGTGCCCTCTAGGACAGAGTAGAATTGCTCCCGAGGGTCTTTGAGACTGTCAGTCTTTGCGGAAGTAGACAGCCTCATCTTACTTTTCTGGGGCAGCTAGTGGGTTCAAACTGCCAACTTGGTAGTTAGCAACCCGATATTTAACCCCCTGTGCCACCTGTCCTCCTTATAATTGTCAGAATGATAGTTGAAATGAGAATAGTGTCCCATGCAGGACCTGGAAATCTTACCTATAAAAGTTTCTGTGAAAGACTTTGCCATCATTCCAACTATTAAAGGCATTTGTATACTTCTTCATCTTTGATGGTATGCAGGCCAGGGGAACTGCCACATAGCAAAGTTCTGGCTAGGTAAAGTACTCTTTATCTAAGTGTATCTAGATAGTATCTGAGTACATACAAATAGCGCGCGCGCACACACACAGACATGCATATAAGCACACACCCTTTGAAACCTTCAGTAGTATAACCAGCTGCCAACAATCTGAGTCTTACTTGTGGTGATTCAATGGGTGTCAGACTAGAGCTGTGCTCTATAGGGCTTAGAAGTGGATTGCCAGCTCTTTCTTCCAAGGCACCCATGAGAGGGCTGGCAGGTCCAACCTTTTGGTTAGCACCTGTGTGTGCTAATTATTTGCTTCATACAAGTACTCCTTTAATAGCACAGTAAATGATCTTAAAGAAAATAAAACAAAACAAGCAAAGAAACAACAAAAACTCAGCAATTGCAAGACCTACTCTGCATTATGAAAGACACTGAGCATGTGAGAAAAAATTTTAAAGCAGCATTAATATGAAGGATCCTTTCTAAAGAGGTCAGAATGGTTTATATGCTCGTTTAATGAATATTTATTTGCTGAAACACTATTCAGTCTTCAGCATCTGAGACTATTTGACGTCGATAAACCTATTTTATCAATCAAGATGGACTAACACAGGTTATAGTAATTTCAGCATGTTTTCTTTTATAGAAAAACCTCATTTCAATGTTTTCTTTTAAAAATTTGCCCTACCATTCTTATCTATATATCTGGATAGGAATACCTTATGTTTTTATGCAACCTGGTTTCTTTCTGTGCACAGCAACTCTAAATTTCAGTCTTCAGGTACACTCTACCTAAGATCAGCAATGGGATGCAGGGTAATATGAAATAGTTACTGTCGGACTTTCTGGAGATATGAAATTAATGATAAGGTTGATTTTGATTTATTCATTAAAGAGTAGCTGAATTTTTCTCTGGCACAGTTGTTTCATATATAATACATCATAGGATATACTACTTACAGTAGCAGATCATGATACATTCTAGGTACCTGATCTTTTGAGGAGGCATTGTGGTGTAGTAGGCTATGCACTGAACTGCTAACAAGATCAGCGGTTGGAACCCACTACCTACTCTGAGGGAACCCAAAGGGGGGATTCTACCCTGTTCTAAATGGCCGCACAAGGATCCTTGGTGGCATAGCGGGTTAAGCATTGTGCTGCTAACCACAAGGTTGGTGGTTCAAACTCACCAGAGAAAGATGAGATTGTCTCTTTTTGTAAAGTCTTGGACACTCTAAGAACAGTTCTTTGTCCCACAGGGTCCCAATGAGCTGGACTTGAATTGACGACAGATCTTTTGGGGTATACCATACTTAATACGAATTATTATTATTTCAATATATTTTAAGACTATGAATATCATAGTCAATGTAACAGACTGATAGTAGAAACAATTTCAAAATCAGTTTATAGAATGATAAATATTTGCCAGGGGTATAAAACTTCCAACAAGGTTGAGCACCATGGTTTGTTTGAAACTGGTCTCTAAAGGCCTATGAGTTTGGTGTGTTGGGTTTGACTGATGAAACCAGTGTTTGAAAGCACAAACCCAACATACTGTGAAGTAGAAATTGTGCCTCATGAGGAACAGATTTTGTTATGTTTCCACATTTGGAAAAGGTGGCATTTGACAAGGAATTCTGCTTGCTCACAGAAATCATCCCTGGTTGAGTGCTATTGGCATGCGTTGAATGAAAATAAACATACTTAAACTTATAGACATCTTTCTTTTGGGTAATCTAAAGATTGGTAGAGGTCTGCGTACTGATGTACAATAACATGACAGCTTCATCAGTTTGTAATTTTAAATTTACCAATTTTCCTCCATTAAGAAAGTTAACCACCAATTTCTGTGTGTGTGTGTGTGAAGTGAAAAATTAACATTTTTCTATTTATAAAACCACATGGTGTAATTTCCTCTTTTTTTAAAACTCTTTTTAGGTCGAGATTTAATTTGCATACAGTCCATGGACGGGATGCTTATGGTGTTTGAGCAGGAGAGCTATGCTTTTGGGCGATTTCTCCCTGGTTCCTTGCTGCCAGGCCCTCTAGCTTACAGTTCTCGTACGGACTCCTTCATTACGGTTTCTTCCTGCCGACAAGTGGAGAGTTACAAGTAAGCTCGGATGCTAAGTCTTGGATGTCATTGTGATTTTTGCTGTGTGTGATGCTGTGGTGAAGGCGTCAGGCTGCTGAGCAAAAGGGTCTGCAGTTTCAGCCCGGTGGAACTGGTGCTCCGCGGGAGCAAGCTGTGATAGTCTGCTTGCACAAAGATGAATGTGACCTTGATGCAGATCCCTGCACTGAGGGTTGTGCTGTCACAGTCGTGCCCTGACTGCCTTGGGGAAGCGCCAGGACCAATATTGTAAGCTCATCTGTCTAACTTAAGGCGTCTGTCCCAATCATGGTCCCAATCATGGTCCTTGATTCTGCTCCATCGGTAACTAGCATGCATTGATCTCCTGCCAACCATGTTTTTGCGACACTTTTCTTTGGCCTCTCTAATTCTTTCAAAGTGCTTTCAAGTTCATCAAACCCTTGGCCATTCTGACCTCGAGCTAATGGTCTCCCTCTTCCAGGTAAGTCTTTGTAGTTCTCTTGTCCTTGTATCATTTAAGACTTAATAAATATTCTTTTTTTTAAAGGAGAGAATAAAGTGAAATAAAGAAGTTTCAGACCCCTCCAAAAATGAATAACTTAGAAACTCTAAGGGCAGTTCTACTCCATCCTATAGGTCACTTTGAGTCATTATTCACTCCCTGGCAGTGGGTTTGTTTCTTTGTTTTGTTGCTGATTTATTCTTTTCCACAAAGAACTCGAGTATTACAAAGGAATAAGATTTGACTTAGAGCTGACCATGATGTATGTAGAAAACATTTGAAAGGCAGTGTAATGTAGTGCTTTGGAAAGAGACAAGTCTGAGTTAGAATCTTGTTTCTGTAACTAACATCTATGTGATGATCAGTGCCCTTGATCCTGAAACCAAACCTAACCTAACCTCACATAACCCTGTTGAATCAATTCTTCCATGGCATCTCGGAATGGATCTGAAGCACCAGCCTTTGGATGCTAGCCATGGACTTAC